TCACACTGCTTCTAACCCAAGTGAGTTTCATAGCTCTTTGCAGTGAAGGCAAGACTGTGGAAACAGATTTCTGGATCCTTCCATGTGGAATGACCCAGTGTGGTTTTATCGTGTTGTTGGAACACAGACTTCAAGAACCAAGTTTATACTATGTCCCTTTTGAAAGCCATATGGGGGTGGTTGGAGAGGGATTTGGATTATTAAAAAACTTGTTGTAATAGAGCTTCAGCCATCCAGACAGGCTGACTCCAGATTACCGTTTTAGCAAGCTCTGGATGGTTGCGGCTCATTCCCATTCAAGGGAAAAGCATTTGATAACAGATGTGCTGGATGCCACCCCCTTCTGTCCATTTGTTGTCCCACTTCCGTGTGTTTTAGGTGGAAAGTCGGGTGATATAAAATCAACTCAGAAATTACTATAACTGGAGATTAAAGCAAAGAACCATACAAGTAAATTTTAGCACAGTTAAGGATTCTAAAACTGAAAATATGCAAAACAAACAAACAACAACAACAAAAACAAATGAAAAATGTCTACAATGCAAAGTTCCTTATCCTTATGCTGGATTCTTAGGCTACAAACATAAATGTTTAAAATAACAAGAGTTTAGGGTTCCATAGCTCTGGAGGCTGGAAGCCCAAAAAGTGCCAGGAGGTGTCTTAGCTTTTGTTTTTGTCTTTGTTTTTTTTTTTTTTTTTTTTTTTTTTTTTTTTTTTGTTTTGTTTTTGTTTTTTTCTGTTGCTGTGATTAATTATTCTGACAAAGGCCACTTAAGGGGGCAAATGTTGCTTTGGCTCCTAGTTCAAGGGTGTCATCATGAATCATCATGACAAGGAAGCAAAGGGCTGAAACAGTTGCTCTCATTCCATGCACAATCAGGAGCCAAGTGCAGGGAATGGTACCGCCCACAGTGGGCAATCTTCCAATCTCAATTAATTTAAAATCACTCTTCACATGCCTACCCAGAGGTCACCAAGTTCTCAACCAAGATCAACTATGACAACAGGGCTGGTTCCTTCTGCAGTCTGTTTCATGCCTGTCCCCTTACCTTCTGGTGGCTGACTATAGTTTTGATGGTTTTTAATTTGTAGATGCATCACTAGAACTCTGCATCAGATATCACATATTTCTTGTGTGCCTGTGTCTTTTCTCCTCTTCATATGTAAATATCAGTAATGCTGGGATCAAGGGCCCCCTCTACTCCAATAGGATCTCATCATAAGTCATTAGATCTCCAATGGCCATTATTTACAAATATCACACTCCAAGCTTCTTGGAAGGATAGATTTTTTTGGTTACTATGCACATCTGTATGTCTAATAAAAAAAAAAGTAGTGATGAGTTTCGGCAGTAGTGTTCATGTTGGAACAATGTCATGAAAGCCTAGATTGGTGATTTCCAACAAGCCTGGGGGCAGATGGTATGTGTGGCTCTCAAATCGGGTCACAAGCTGAGGACTGTTTCCTATTGTTTGGCTAGATGACAGCTTGGTGAAATTAGACTTCTGTCCTTTGAATACATCTGTGGTTAATTGGTCTAGAAACATATGGATGTTGCTTTATTTTTCTTCCCATGCAAAAACCATTTCACGGTAATGGTTGCCAGTTCGAAAGAACAGCAGGGCAAAGCCCAACGTACTAGTTGAGACAGAGACCCAATTTAGAGAAGAGGAAGAGTCTTAATTCTGTAGATACCAGGTGGTAAATCTAAAAAAAATGCATGTGCACCTGGGAAAGCTATGGAAGGGTTCAGTATTGCCTGAGTCCAGCTTCAAAGTGTGCTCTGGTTTGAATATTCTCTGGGGGGCGGGATTGTGTGCTTGAATCTTGGTCTTTAGTGAGTAAAGCTATGGGACTGTTAGGAGGTGAGGCCTGGTAGAAAGAAAATCATGGGGAAGCAACAGAAAAAGATTGGTGTTGGTCCTATGCAATGAGGTGTCCTCCTCTTCTGATGGCACAGTGTGTGTGTGTGTGTGTGTGTGTGTGTGTGTGTACATGCAGGATGTAATTATCTGTTGAGGTCCTCCCCTAGGAGGAGTACAAGGAGCTGAGGATAGAAGGTGAGAAGGATTGGGTGAGTGAAGAGAGGCAGGGGATCCTGTACAGAGCAGTGGTTCTCAACCTTCCTAAAGGCTGCAAGCGACCTTTTAGTATAGTTCCGAATATTATAGTGATCCCCCCACCATAAAATTATTTCATTGCCACTTCATAATTATAATTTTGCTGCTGTAGTAATGTAAATATCTGATATGCAGAATATCTGATATGCAACCCCGCCTACAGGTTGAGAACCACAAGATACAGAGGAATTTGCCTGAGCAAACTTTTGGAAGGTACATGCATGGCCTTTTCTGAAGGGGATGGGTCAGGGGGCTAGAGACATGGCCAGCATCAGAACTGAGGGAGGGTGAGGAGTCTGTCTTTATCTTAACAGCAGTGACATTTTAAGTAGGAGGTGATCTGACTTTCTACACTAATTAATTTTCTTGTCAATTGGACAAAATACCTGACTGAAACAACTTAAGGAAGAAAAAATAAATTATTTGGTTCACAGTTTTAGAGTATTCAGACCTTAGCTTGGCCGGAGCATTATGGTGGTGGGAGTTGCAGTAGAAGGGAATCTTCATCTCATATTCAACAAGAAAGAGAGGAAGGGAAGGGACCAGGGGTGGGAGGAAATACACAAGGGCTTGCCTCCATGGCCTAGTTCCTCCAGGTAGGTCCCAACTTCCTCTAAAGTTTCCAAGAACTTCCCAAAATAGCACCACTAACTGGGTCCCAAGCATTCAGAATAAGAGTCTCTTGGAGGAATATTTCTTATCCAAGCCAGTTCTGGTCTTTTGTAGAGGTCATTTTTGTGACAGTGTACAGAATGTATTGGTGAGAAGGGAACAAGTGGATGCATGCTGGACTGCATAGGTAGATGTACATATCGCTTCCAAGTAGCTTCCAAGCCTTTAACCAGAATATTCAAATAGCAATTACATGAGCTCGTGTGTGGTAAGAAGGAGGACCATTGGAACATCTCGAGGAAATGCCAATCATGGGGGGGGGGGAATTTATGGATGCTGAATGCATACTTCTTGGTTCAGCAATACTTGTAAGAAATGTAAGTGGAAACTAGAGTCAGCATGGGGAACTTGGAGTTTTGGGGCAGCTTGATGGAAAGATCTGCAGGGTCATTTTTCCAGCTATAAAGTTAATATCTAGTCTCCTTAGAAATTCTGCCCAGAGCCCAAGGTCCTGAGTCTTTGATCATACCCGTTCCTTCTCTTTTGTGTGTATATATGTGTGTACAGTGTATGCATGTGTGTGTGTGTGTGTGTGTGTGTGTGTGTGTGTGTGTGTGTGTGTGCATATGCATGTGGGCCGACTCCAGAGGTTGCTGGCAGGTATTCTCTCCTATTGCTCTTCATCTTATATTTTGAGACAGGGTCTCTCTCACTGAACCTCCTGCTTACTGATTGGGTAGACTGGCTTGCCAGCAAGTTCTGTGGATTCATTTGGGTTCATTCCCTCTCCCAGCACTGGAGTTATTGATGTGTGCTGCCACACATGGCTTTTTACAAAAGTTGTAGGGATCTGAACTCATGCTCTCATGCTTGTGTGGCGGGTCCCTTACTGACTGAATTTTAACCCAATGCAAAGTCTTGTCAAGTCAATATCAAATCAACGCCCTCCCCCACAGTAGTCCTAGACATTAAAATTAGGGCTCATGCATGTTTGGCAAGTGCTCTACCACTGAGCTAACCCCCCCACAACTCTTCAAAAAAAGCTTTCTTGATGAGTCTTATTCATCTGCAAGTAGAGAGGGACGCTTTGGGGCCTGTGCATGTGCCCTTTGAGGGGTACACTAACCTGCCATGCTTAGCATGGAAAATCGTAGTCACACACAATTCAAGTTGTAATTGTCCCAACCCAAAGTAGCAGCTCCCGAGAGTCCTTTTTCAGCCAGCTGAAGACAAAAGCCCAGGTTCCTCCCTTCCTGAGGACAGGGACGAGGTCATGGAAGGGAGATCTGTCCTGTTAGGAAGACCCAGAGGATTACCCAGATGTTTCCTTGGGCCTCCAATATCTCAGATAGAACTCTTTCCATTACAAACTAAGGGGTCTATACTAAATAATTTATTCCAGTCTCAAAGTTCTAGTACTCTCTTCAGAATCTCTGAGTGGGGTATGGTAGTGTATTAGTCACTCTATATCATGTCACTCCAACAAAATACACAACAAAACAAGGAGAAAATGATTTATTTTGGCTCACAGTTAGAGAGTTTCTATCCAGAGTAACTCAGATCACGGCAGCTGGAATGTGTGGTGGAGGCTCTTCACATCATGGCAGACAGGAAGCAGCATAAGACAGGAAGTGGGAAGGGACAATACACCCCAGCTTTCAGTCACCTACTTCCTCCAGGTAGGCCCCACCTCCCCAAAGTCTCCAGACCCTCCCAAAATAATTCAGCCAGATGAGGATCAAGCATTCCAAACATAAACCCTTTATCTCCTTTCAAACGGGAGACCTTTCTGATTGAAACCATAGCCGCTGGCTTGCAAGTACAGCCACACTCAGTATCATGGCTGAGAGGAAGGAAAGCGTTTGTCTGTACTGTGTCTGCCAATGACTCTTTGATTTTATCGAATGCTACACTCTTTGTTTTGCTTTTTGACTTGTTTATTCTTATTTTATGTGCACTGGTGTTTTGCCTGCCTGCATGTCTATGTGAGGGTGTCAGATCCCCTGGAACTGGAGCTACAGACAGTTATGAGCTGCCATGTAGGTGCTGAGAATTGAACCTGGATCCTCCGGAAGTGCTCCTAACCTCTGAGCCATCTCTCCAGCCACCCTCCTTTTCTTTTAATTGTCAACCATGTGGCGGTTCTTACCAAAAATAGGAATAAATGTATTTTCCATGCACCATTAGTTTCACTTTCAAATATTCCTTTTGGAAATGGGTAAAATGTCTTCTTTTTAAAAACTGGTTTCTTTTCACACTCACTTCCAGGTACAAAGGCTTCAAGGGCAACTGCTCCATGACCTTCATCGATCAGTTTAAAGCGCTGCACCAGTGTAACAAGTACTGTAAAATGCTGGGGCTGAAATCCCTTCAAAACAACAACCAGAAGCCTAAGAAAGCGAGCATCTCGAAAGGCAGAGTGCAGACGAACTCTGTGACCGTGAAGCCGCCCGAGTCTGGGACTCCCACAGAAAAGAAAGCCTAGCATCTCCCTCTCATCCCTTAGTAACAAGTGACCACCAGCTGGCAGCACTCAGGCTTGCAAGTGGATATCTGCAGACACACGGAGGACAAGAACCTGCAGCCTGCAGAGAGTGTCCCAGTCCTTCGCAGCCCTCTGTCACTTGCTGTCTGCCAGAATGACTTTGGAATGGATCTTTGTGACTAGCCTCGTAGGGAGACTCATCAGTTCTATCTCGAAAGCAATCCACTTTTTATGTACACCACTAGTGTGTCTACCCACCTCACGTTGTGTGTCTATTTGTGTGTTGCACGTGGTTTGTCGTCAAGAGTTCCATGCTGCCTGGCAACTGTCCACTGTCAAAACCCTTCCCACCTCGTCTTCTCACCTCAGGATTTCTGAACATTTCTGAAATCATGAATGTCATGTGTCATTTATGCTATTGTTGCTGGAGGTGGCTTCCCAAGTGTGAGGCCATTTCCAAGCACTATTCACACAGCCTGGCACAGTGTTCTGTTAAAATAAATTCGTATTTAAGCAAAAAGGGTAAGGTGTACACGTCATCATAGCCACTTGTTCATTGGAATCCATGCTTTTTCCACATTCTGACAAGATTTTGTAATCCGGTAACAGGTTTACCGGAGCACACAATATTTGCATCTGTGTTTTCTCATCTTACAACAAAGGTTCCATCACCTTCTAAATGTGGTCTCTTGGGGTGCTAATTAGGCTGGGGTGCAACCGCTACAGGGATCCTGCCCTCCCTTACTCCTATGGGTCTCTTCCAGCCACACCTCCTTCCTTGTTTATCTGGGAAGGGCAAAAGCTATTGAATGTGTCTGCAGCATTCCCAGACAGCTGCCTTTCAATAGAACACCCCTGTCTTCTTCAGTTGTAAAATACTGTCCTCTGCAGTGCCTGGTGACAGAGACTCACCATCCTAGATACTGGAGAGGCCAAAGCAAGAGGGTAGAGAGTGGAAAGTTCAAGGTCAGCATGAGTAACTTGGTGAATCCCTGCCTCAAAGGGGAGAGAAAAAAAAAAAAAGTTAAACAGGCTGGGATTATAGCTCAGTGGGAGTGGCTAGAGCAAGGCTAGAGCAATCAATCAAAACAATGTGAACCAAAACCCTTTTCTGTACATGGGATTTTTGATGAAAAAATGAACACAGGTGAGTTATTTTTTTTTTTAAAGGACTTGAAGGAGAAAGCATTTGTCAGAAAGTGCTACAGTAGCAAAAAGGCACAGGGCATATTTTGATCAGATCTATCTATCTATCTATCTATCTATATCTCCTGTTATCTACCACATGTAATCTCTATCACCTATCTAAATTAGTCATTTATAATTTATCTATAATCTTTCACCTATAGTAATATATATATCTATATATACATACATCCTGTTCATCTTACCCATCAACCATAGCTATCATCCTTCATCTATATGGGTGTAAATGTGAGTGTACCAGAACCCTCTTGACAGACCATCACTTTTTGGGTAATAGCTTGTAATTAAAAAAATATCAAAAATATGTATTTAAAATAGCATAGAAAGGCTTGACATAAGAAACCAAAGTCCCCTGGGAGCCTTCGGTCTGCCTGGATCAAAATCTTGACTTGAGGAGAGGCTAGGGGCTTTCTTGATAGAACTGTCCTTGCCTCCTTTACTGGATACTTAGGCTTTTCTTTTCAAAGTGCCTGTATTATTTATTGTAGTGTGATTCTACCAGTTTGCAAATATTTGGAGGACCAGAAACAGAAGGGTATGTCCCAGCCAAAACTCTTGGGGATGGTCTGGTATGACTGTATGGCCACCCAATCTTTCATTATGTGTTATTTTCCTTGCACGGTCAAACAATCATGAAGCAGGCTTTCTTACACCAAGCCATGGCCCCAGGGTCTCACAATACCCAACCCTATTGCTGTGGTTTTAGTTTTTTGTGGCAAGGCAGTTGCTGTTGATTCGCCCATAGAGCAACCTCAGGAGGGCTGAAATACAATGAATGCTCCACTCAGCCAACAGACTAGGGAGGTCAAAGAGCCCAGCGGGGCTTTTGACACCTGACAGTGATCAAATACAGATATGGCTTAGCATTCTAAAAGGCTGGGCCATGGAGTTCTGTGATGGGCAGGTCACACAAATAAAAGTGTTATGGAAACAGGCCCATATTTCTGTCAGCAGGCTCCTTACCGTTGAGATGGCTGGGAAGTGAAGACCCCTTGCCAATGGACTCCCTATTCTGGAGAGGTCCCAAGCTGGCCACAGGGATATCTGGTTTGTATCTACTCTTATCTATTGTACCTGTGCCTCCTAGACATACTTATGATGAGCTTCACCATAGCAATGGTTTCAATAGGATCTGATTAAAAAGAATACCCCAAAGACTGGCAATTATTTTCTAATTACAGTCCTCTCTTTTCTAAATATGCATTGCATTTTGAGTGTGTGTTGGGCAAGTGTTCAGCTGGATGCAGATGGGAGGGACTTGCCAACAACCTCGTTCTGGCTTGCTTTCTCTGTGTACTTTCTGCTCCGCTGGGCCATGGGGAACAGAACAGTGCTTCGCCTACTCAGACCTACAGCTGCTGCATTGACTTAATGAGTTTTTAAAAAGCATCTAGTCCTCTTCTGCCACTGTGGCAGATCTGCTTGTTCTAAGATGGAAGCTGGCAAGCAAGATGGCAACCAGTTCCAGCCATAGGATCAAATGACCTCTCAGATACTATTAGTAAATGTTAACACTAGTCATGCCAAGAAGATCCCAAAGGCAAAGGGAATGCACCACAGAGACTATCTATTTACTTATTTTATTCATTTATTTATTGCTTCTTTTGGAGACAGGGTCTTATTCAGCCCGGGCTGGCCTCAAACTTGCTGCACAGTGGAGAATGAACTTGAACACCCGATTCCCCTGCCTCTTCCTCCCAACACCTGGGATTTATAGTCGTGTGCCACTGTGGCTTTCAAAAGACATACCCTGAGTCTCGTCAGAAGGGGTCCTACTGGTTTCCATCTCAGATGAATCGAAGCCATTCTGCTGAGATGTGTAAGTTCTGTCTCCTCTCAGCCCACTATTTCCTGTCTCCATGGAATGCTAAGGCAGCGGCTTGCAGTAAGCTGTCTTCATGACTTTGATGCTTGCCTTATTTATAAAGCATAGTCAGGCATAACAAAATTACCCCAACTGTTAGGAGGTGTATGTAAGAAACGGTCTCAGTCCTGAAAGCTAGGAATCCTAATTCTCCAGGTCTCAGGGCTACAGCCATTTCTTTCACCTCTTTATTATAAAACTCCGAGACAAATACAATGATAAGAACTGGAGGCCATCACTCCAGACACCAAATGCCATTCACCTTTGGCTTTCCAGCTGCAAAGGACAGAGCAACCTTTCAGCTCGCCTTCCAGTCTGGAAAACTATGATCCATCTATCCGATTGTAAGCTCCGCCTCTTGAACCAACACCTGATTCTAATTGGACAATGAACCACTGTAGTGAGATAGTCTGTCTGTGGCACTGACCACGCCCATTGGGGGGTGGAGCCATGGGCAGAGTGACCTGTGGAAGGAGGTCGGAGGGGAGCCAGGAAAGGCTCTCTTGCTGGCCTGACTCGGACAGGAGAGGATCGGGTTGAATTTCCTGGTGTTCATCTGTCTAGGTTGTAAGTTATTTCTCCCTGAATAAACATCTATTCGGCCTATTTGTTTATCCTAATCCTTATTTAACCGCGTTAAACCACAGCATAGGTACGATTCCTATGACACAGGGCTCTGTCTCTAAAAGTGTGAAGGAACCCTCTGCCGTAGACCTTTCTTGCTTCTAGAAGACCCGTGGCTGATAGTAGCATGGCTCCAGTGTTCATGGCTGTCTTCTGTCTGTGTCCAAAGTTCCCCTTAGCATATATAAACAACAGCATGTTGAATTAGGGCCCCCACCCCAACGACCTCATTTTTTAACTCGGTAAAAGACTTTTTAAATAATGCCACATTTTGAGGTTCTAGGGGTTAAGAATCTAAGAACCCAGGCATTCCACTCACAAAGGCGACTTTGGTCTTGCACCTCCGCATCACCTGTGGGCACTTTGTTCATGCCGGAGATCCAGCTGAGACAAAATAAAGACAGCGACTCAAGCCCACCCCCCTCTCCCTGCTACTCAGTGCCACCATGGCTAGCTAGCCTGGTGGTGGGGGAATCTGGGTCATAGGAATGTTCTGGTTCCCATGGAGCTCACTTGCACCTTTAGTTCTAAGCATTTTTAAAGAGAGATCATCATTTGGTCTCCTAGGTCCTTTTCTTAATGTTGGGGAACTCTCCTCATCTCCTCAAAAGCTGAGACGGTATGACTTGTCATCTGTGGCACAGCTGTCCCCAAGTCCAGGGGACCCCAAATCCAGGGGACAGGGTGAGGACCACACTGTCTTCTTTCAGACCCCACCCTCACAGTGTGACTTGAGCATCCTAGTGGAAAAAAACAAAAACTGTTCTCAGAACCTAACTGCCAACTCAGTTGTCCCGTTTATCCCGTTATCTGCAGTCAAGCCAGGGGAAACAAGATGTCTTTTAACAGTTTTCCATCTCCCTCAGAGGAGGTGACAAACTCCAGTAACAGCCTCGTTGTTCTCTGACACTTCTGCCTCAGGTCCTTCCACATTCTGCTCCCTCTGTCTGGAAGTGTCTTCTCAGGTCTCTGCCCACCAGACCCTGGTCTTTCTGGTGTCCTGATCTTAGATCAGTCACCAAACCTGTGAAGAATAAATGTCAGTAAAACCACCCAGTCCATGTCATTCTGTTACAGCAGCCAGAACGAAAAAAAAAAAAAAAGTGTGGCCTTGCTTGCCCGATGTCCTGTTTGCTTTCTCTGCCTCATGCTGCCAGGCATAGGTGCTCTCTCTCTAGACTTTTATTACAGGAAAAAAAATCAAAGGCCCATTTTATCTAAATCACTTATTTCTTAACATACTTCTGTGTAAAGCGCTCAGTTTTGTAAGTAAGTCCCCAAACAGGCCAAAGCCTTTCCTGTGCCATGCTCAGTCCTGGCTGCATATCAAAATGACAAGCGTGCTTCACTATGTCCCCACCATGTCTCTTGTGGCTGGTCTAGAGCATGGAGGTTTCCAGAAGTTCCCCAGATGACTCTAATTTGGAGCCATCTAAGGACATACTCACTGTACTTTATTCCGGTACAGAACAGACTGGCAGATTGAAGCCTCCATTAAACACTAATGAGCGCATCTTTGGAGCCAACGAGGTTCCCAGGCTGGGTCTATACCCAGGCCCTGGGGAGGTGTGGGGACATCTGCTGCTGGCCCTTAATCTCTCTTCTGATCTCATGGGGCTGCTGGGCCAGGTGACTGCCATCTCCAGCATGCTCTCAGGTGCTCAGGTGCAGCTAGGAAAAGCATCGCTATTGCCCATGTATTGTCTATCCCTTATCCTCTGCCTCTTCTTCTTGCCCATTCCCTGCCCAGCCCAAATCTGAGCCCCAAGGGTAGTGTGGTTTGGTTTAGTGCTCCCACTGTTGGAAACAGACACCAGATGTCCTAGTTTACCACATGACCCTCTTAC